CTGCTTGCACGACACACCATCGGTACCACTGATGCTCGCAATAGAACAAGCGAGCGCGGCTCCCCGCTCTCGTGGTCGGCCTCCCAACTACAGGGAGCTCGCCGGAATTCGTTCGCGACGACCTAGACGACGCAGCCTGCCGTCTGCACCTTCACCTGCGCCGCCGGAACCCAACCCAGAAGCGGAACACCCTACCCCTGCAACGAAGACACCAGCTGACCCTCCTGATGTGCGCCAATGGCCGCAATCTTATTCGAAGTGCCCCAATTTTCGCGTTCCCTACAAAGCCGCATTAAACCAACCAGGAGAAGCTCTGCAAGTAGAGTTTCGTAATCGCCAATTCACCTTTCGCTACGTAGAGCCTTACCTGCACATCTGCGTTCATGGACTGTGGCGCATCTGCGTCCCACAATTCCCTGAGTTCCTTACTCACGTTCTGAATTCACATCACGACCATGTCACAGCCGGCCATCGAGGCCAGAAGAAGACCTTTACGGCCCTCAGCAAGCACTACTACTGGCCAGGAATGTGCGCCTACCCTACTGCTTATGTTGAGTCATGCACTCCCTGTCGAGCGTCAAAGTATCTTGAACAGAAGCCTGCAGGCCTTCTTCAACAGTTGCTCAACCCTTCTCGTCGATGGACGCACGTGAGTCTCGACTTTATCACAGATCTTCCCCTTACAACGACAGGGCACGACTCGATCCTTGTCATGGTCGACTCCCTCAGCAAGATGGCTCATTTCGTTCCTACAAAGAAGTCATTCACAGCAGCAGACACCGTGGAGCTTCTTGCAGACCGTCTTATCCCCTATCACGGTTTTCCAGAGGTGCTCATATCGCACTGCGACCCCCGTTTCGAGTCGGATCTCTGGTAACAACTCTGTAGCCGCTTTAACATCAAGCGTGCCATGTCCTCGTCCTACCATCCCCAAAGCGACGGCCAAACTGAACGGGTTAACCTCACACTGGAGCAGATGCTTCGTCCCTATATGAAATCTGACTAACGCGAGTGGGAGCGTTTGTTTCAGGCCTTGGAACTTGCCTACAACACAATGAGTCATTCATCCACTGAGCTCTCTCCCTTCGAGGTCATGATTGGCGAGAACCCGTTGACTGCTGCGGACCTTGATATCGTAGACGCGTTAGCTCCTACGCTCACTCCTCCCATGACTAAGCTTTTCCGGCAGCTCTACGACAGAGCACAGAGTCACATGCTGAAGGCGAAATGGCAGCAGAAGTACTACGCAGACACAAAGCGTCGAGCAGTGGAGTATGCAGTGGGAGACAAGTTCTGGCTCAGTAGCAAGCACCTACCGCCTTTTAACTGCTGCCCTAAGTTCGAGACACGTTACGGCGGACCTTTCGAAGTCATCGAACGCACAGGAACTGTCGCTGACCGTCTCGCTCTGCCTCCCACCTATGAATGCCATAACGTTTTCCACGTTTCGCAGCTAGTTCCCCACCGCCCCCGCCCTCCCGCTTTGGTTCCCCCGGCAGCCGACGCCGCCTGGCCTCCTATCCACGATGCAGCAGGCAATCCCACAGAGGAATACGAACTCGACTATATTATGGACCAACGCGACTCGGGAGATGCAGCCCAGTACCTCGTCAAGTGGTGCGGGACCCCTGACGATCAAGCCGCATGGGAGCCAGCTCACCACCTTGCAGGCTGCCCGGCTTTGCTTCGCGCTTGGCGCCGCCGCCAACGAAGACGTCTTCAGGCTCGAAACAAGCTTGGTCCTTCCGAGGCGTAGAGGTATGGGCCCGTCACATTCCACCTCCTACAGCAAGAGCACCCTTCAATGAGGAGGGGTGAGGGAGCGCTGCGCACCGCGTGCGGTCACGACGTCAGCTTGAGAAGAGCACAGGGATTAAAAGGGGAAAATTATGTGTTTGGGGTAGGTCTCTTCAGTCCGGCAAGGAGGGAAGTTGTAGTGCACAGGCACTACAATGGGGCTGGCAAGTGTCCTAGAGGTGATAGCTAGCTAGCGACCTACAAGGGGCCGCAACACTGGAGGAGGACAGGACCCTCCAAATAGGAAAAAGACACGAAAAACTGTCTATTAGTTCTAATGTACACGTGAAATGTGTGGAAATTGTGTGGAGACTGCGGCTGGCGATAGCGCCGGCGCCAGTGCGGACCTCTTCCCCATAGGGCCTAGGAGGCGAGCTCCCAGAGTGGGGCGAATCGAACAGACAGATTTGAAACACTTAAGAACTGTTGTGTTTCGATGGAAAAAAGCTATAGTGTCTGAGAAATGGGGCTATGCTAGGCGTAGTTGGTAGGCCTGCTCGAGGGGCAGGAAGCAGCGTAGTCGCAATAGTAGGCGCCGCGCACTACATACAATGCTTCCTGCCCCTCGAGCAGGCCTACAAACTACACCTAGCGTAGGCCCATTTCCTGGAAACTGCAGCTTAATTTCATCGAAATACAATAAATATTAAGTGTTTCAAAATCTGTCTGTTCGATTCGCCCCACTCTGGGAGCTCGTCTCCTAGGCCCTATGGGGAGGAGGCCTGCACTGGTGCCGGCGCTATCACCAGCCCCAGTCTCCACACAATTTCCACACATTTCACGTATGCATATTAATTCATAGACAGTTTTCCTTACTTTTATCCTAGTAGGAGGTTCCTGCCCTCCTCCAGTGTTGCGACCCCTTGTAGGTCGCTAGCTAGCTATTGTCTCTAGGGTACTAGCCAGCCCCATTGTAGTGCCTGTGCACTACTTGGGCCCCAGCCCCCACTGCAAGCGTTTCGGCCCCATAAAGCACAGCAGACTGGCTCTTCTTGCAAGGCCTTGTGGGGCCCTTTTCAGCGCAGTGGGGCCCCTGCACATAGGCTTGCGGGGGGGCCCTTTAGAGACCCCTTGAGGGGTTTAGAGACCTCTTTATGGGCCTTCAAGGGGCCCCTTTAGAGGCCTCCGTAAGGGCTCCCGTAGGTATTTAGGGGCCCATTAAGAGTCTCCTTCAGGGGTTCCTTTACCTGTTTAGGCGCCATTCAGAAGGCGCTCTTCGGGCTCCCTTTAGGTGTTTAGGGTCCGCCTAAAAGGCGCCTTTAAGGGCCTCTTTAGGGGTCCCATTAGGGGCCCCCTAGGGGCCTCTTCAGGTGCCCCCTGAGGGCCCTCTTTAGGGAGCCCCAGCGAGGCGCTACCCCCTATAGTGGCTGCCTGTGTAGTGCACTGCGCCCGCAGCTGCGACTACGTGCTTCAGTCCCTTGGGCCGGGTCTATAAACAGCACCCTACGGTAATCCATTCCCTAGAAACTACAGCTATTGTGATTAAGGATACAAAATCATGAGTTTATCAAATCTGTCTGTCTGTTTCGCACCCTCCTGGGAGCTCGCCTCCTAGTCCCTAAGGGAGGGAGGCTTGCTCTGGCGAATATAATCACTTTCTCTTACTTTTTGTCTGGCAAGAGGGCCCTGTCTCCCTCCAGTCTTGCGACCCCTTGTAGGTCGCTGGCTAGCTATCCTCTCTAGAGCACTAACCAGCCCCATTGTAGTGTCTGTGCACTACAGCCTGTGGGGCCCCAAGGCTTGGGTGGGCCCCTGCAGCATTTTAGCTTAGGGCCCCCTTTTGGGGCCTCTGTGGCTGCAGCCCGTGGGAGGCCCTGCAGCCTGGCTGCTTCGCCGGTGCAGCGCAGCAAAGAGGACCCTGGGCCATTTCGCTGCGCTGCAGCAGTCTGTTGGGAAAAGGGTTTTTTGTTTGTTTTAAAAGACAAGGCAGGACGCATGCAAACAAATACATAAACGCATCTGAGTGTTGTTATCTTTGTACTTTGCGCTGCTGTCATACGCCCACAAGCACGCGTGCTTTCTTGCATATGTTCATAGAGATATATATATATATATGCGTTATACATCTAGATATGCCTATATATGCATAAATACATACTAATATACATAAATATGTAGATACAAATATATATATATTACATATCAATAAATATATATACACATACATGCAGGTGGCTGCGAACTTGGGAGGGAATATGCACAATTGTAGAGGCACTAAAAAAGTGTTCAGAATGACACTTTCACCACTCATACACAAAACGCAGCATGCACAGCATAAACAATGCACAATATTGAATCTAAAGTGATAAAATATGCAAAATTAGGCATATAAAGTGTTTGTTAGACTCCAATCTATTCTTTTTTGTTAATTTCCCAAATGCGCAGTAGCTGGCGGCCTTAACTCTTCGAGTGTATGTACACTTCGGACGCGGCGGCGAGCTGTCTGTACACCCCAAGTTCAAAGCACCAGCAGCAGCAGAGCGGGCCTGCAACGCGTTTTTAGCGGAAAAGGGGCCGCAAGCCGCTGCAGTAGCCACTTTATGCAAGAAACTAGGGTTTAGGGTTTAGGGTTTAGGGTTTAGGGTTTAGTCTTCAGCCTTGGCTGCATAACGCTGTCTAGCTGCTGGGGGCCCCCGGGGGCCCCTGTACTCGGGCTTCTGCAGTGGCGGACTTGGGGTTAAAGGACTGCAGCCTTCGACTTCTCTCCTTGTTTTTGTTTATTACTTTTTAAATTGAGAGAATTGAATGCATTTAAGACTTTATTCCGTGAGAAAAAGCAGCCACACGCAGACACTGTGTCGGCTGCGCTGACTGGCGGCTCTGCTGCAGCCGCAGCAGCAGCAGCACCAGAGGCAGCAGCGGCAGCAGCAGCAGCAGCAAGGGGCGGCTGCGACAGCAGCAGCAAGGGCCGGCTGCGATAGCAGCAGCAGCAGCAGCAGCAGCAGCACCAGAATCTCCTGCTGCCGCTCCAGCTCGCCGCTTCAGGCGCCCGCCCAGAGCCTGAGAAGTTGCGGCTGCAGCTGCAGCAGCCTCACCGCCGCCCGCAGAACAGTCAATAGCAGCAGCAAACTCAGCAGCAGCAGCAGCAGCAGATGGAAGGCTCAAAGAACGGGGGCCGCCCCCGCAGCCTCGGAGAACACCTGATGCTGCAGCTGCTGCAGCGCAGCCACGAAGAGCTTCTTGCTGCTGCTCTCTCTAACAGCTCCAGCCCCTGTTTGCTGCTGCTGCCGCAGGAGAGCCAACTCAAGGGTTTCCACATAGACCAGGTGCAGCGGGCTGGCCACTGCTGCTGCCGCAGGAGAGCCAACTCAAGGGTTTCCACATAGACCAGGTGCAGCGGGCTGGCCACCCAGCGCTCCCTAAACCCTAAACCCTAAACCCTAGAGCTTCATGTTTGGGCTTGTTCCCGCGAGGCTTAAACCCTAGCTAAGAACCCTAAGCTGCAAACCCTAGGGACTAACTGCCGCGAAGGAGGCTCGAGCGCTTTGCTCTGGGCCCAAACCCTAAACCCTAAACCCTAAACCCTAGCTCACAGGGGTTTTCTGAATGCTTGAGCGTAACTGAAAGCAGGTCTCAGTGCGCAGCAAAGGGCTCCTCGAGCGCCCCTCCTAACCTTGAAATATTTGTTTTATTTTTATCTTCTTTTGTCTCTTTTTATTTTTTGTTTTTCATTTTAAAGGCATTTCTAGAAGCTCACATTCTACAAGGCACTCCTTACAAAGACACTTATGTCAGCTTGAGGGGCCAAGAAGTCGACAGGGCCGGCCAGGAGCTCACCGCCTCTCTCGGGTTCAGAGCCAAAGGCAATTCTCCAAACTCTAAACCCTAAACCCTAAACCCTAAACCCTAGAAACTTCAGTCTAAAACCCGCATAAGCTGCCTCAGCCTTCTCCGCCACCTCTAACACTATTGCGCACCGCCTTCGGCCTCCCAGCGTTCGGGGGGTCCCCCCAGGGGGGCCCCATGGGGGCCCGCAGGGCCCTCTGGGGGCCCCTGGGGGCCCCCAGGGGCCCCCAGAGGCCCCAAGGAAGGCTAAAAGTGCCCATTTTGGCCCTTCTTGGGCCTGAAGGCCCTTGGCCGTTGGCCTCAGAGGGCTGGCTCTCGTTGGGGCTTTTGTGCATGCAGTTTGTGTCTCTATACTGCGAGAGGAGCAGCTTTTTGCTGCTGGGGGCCCCTTCACATGCCTCTTAGTCTCCACGCCGCTGCTGCCGCTGCCCGCTGGCAGACAAAGCGACGGGGGGGCCTCCACGGGGGCCCACGCCAGCTCAGCGCGCAAGCCCGAGGACGCAGAGAGGGGCCCCCAGGGGCCCCTGGGGCCCCCGGGGCCCCGGAGGCCCCAGGGGCCCCCAGGGGGCCCGCTGTCGCCAGACAGCCCTGTACCCTTTCTCACCGCCACTGAGACCCAACAGAAAGTGGAGCGCTGGTGGAGGCAGGGGGCTCCAGGGGCCCTTGCTGAGCGGGGCGTGCATGCGGAGATTGAGCGTTTCAAAGCCACTTATGTGCTGGTGCGCCTAGGATTTAGGGTTTAGGGTTTAGGGTTTGGGGTTTGGGCTTAGGTTTGGAAGAAAACGAAGCCAGCGCGCACGGGCTGTTCGGGGGCTCGACGTCGTTCGCGGGTTTGGGATTTG